TAGTTATTAAAAAACTTGCTTAAAAGCAATAAAACAATTCTAGATCTATTTTCTGATCTCTTGAAAAAAGGAGATGGAAGTTTTGCTTCAGTCTGACCATTCCAGCTTCCTGAGAAACAGAAGCAAATCTCAGTTAAAGGAAAACATATTAAAAACTTACAAAAGTACTATTTAAAGCACATATGAAGCATCAGCACTTGTCTGAGGGTACAGAAAAAAAAAGCACAAAAGCTGAAAATCATCATTTCGCATTGGCGGTGAAGTAAAATGCACTCATAGACTGTCACAGGCTGGGGTGCATTTGTTGCCTTTTGGTACCTGCTTTGTATGTTTGAATCCTAAATAATTTTGTTGGTAAGTAGGTTTGAATCCTAAATAATTTTGTTGGTAAGTAGAACACTACTTACATCCTCAAATACTTGATGCATTTGTGCTATGCGGAGCGAAGCAGAATGATAAAAATAGCAGTCTTTAATATCAACTTGGGTATTAAGTAACACTTCCTAGTTCTGGACACTTGTGTTTAACATGAAATAACTTTGTTTCTCATTTAGCATACATCAGGGCATGTTGCCTTTTGACCCAGGAGTATGCCGTCTGTCTCATTATCCTTTGTATTGTTTTACTGTTCCTTGAAACTATCCAAACAATTTGGTGTGGCCCTAGCAACCAAACAATACTGTTTAACAGAGATTTCCTACAGCACTGGCTCCCAGATTTCCCACGTAGGCCTAGCTCGCATCGGAGCAAACAAACAGGATATTGTTTCAAGTGAAAAACATTCTATGTTTTCAAGCAATTTATTAAAGTAGGTTTTTTGGTTTTGAACTGTTGCGAGTGGTATGATTCTTTTTGGTTCCAGATTCTGTTTGAAGTTCTGTAGAATGGTCCATGTTTGGAAGTTTCAAAACCATATTTGAAACTTAAATTTTCTCTGGCAGCTAAGAGCAGAGAATGGCTTATACTTTGATGGCAAGGAATGCCAGAAAGACATTATTATTTAATCTTGCCACATAATGAGATTTAAATGCTATTTAAAATCCACGTAGACCCTTCCTACAGTGTTACCGATTGCAAGTTCATGAGTAAATTAATCCCACTGAATGTAATTATACCAGATAATAATGTTGTTTGACCTAGTTAAGAAATCTGGTAATAGATTTTTACCTTTTTTTTTTAAAAAAACTATATTATATCTTATTAAACACAGTCAAACTTCTTCCCCTTCTGCCCTCCTATGTGTTTTTTTTCCTTTCCAGTAGGTATTTAACTTACTAGTTTCACATACCAAATAAAACCGTGAACATTGTCATACACAATATGAGAGTCATTAATGTGAACCGTTAATGCTGCCATGAATTGGAGTCCTCAGCAAATTCATAGATGAAAGTAAATCCTAGTCGTTTATTCTGCGTTTTGAATACACTGACATTTCAGCAAAAATAAGATGTTTGTAATCCTCTGATGGCAGCGTTTGTAATTGCTTCAGTTTGACATTTTTCCCTTGGCTTTTTGGAGAGGCTTAATACCAGCTGAAGAGTTTGTGCATGTTAACACAGAGATTAGTAACATGTAGGGCTGTAGGATAGCCTTTACTCGGCTTTGCTGCTGGAAGAGTGAAAAAACAAGTGCTGTGCCTGCGTTGCCTCTCCTTTTTGTGCTGGCGCAGGCGTTTGTGCGATCATGTGCTGAATGAATTGGATGACGAGTTGTGTCAAGATTAACCTGGGGGGGGGAACCACAAATGCTGCTAGTTCAGTTCTTTACGCAGCTGCACGCTTGTGTTTGCTTGTACAGGAGGAAGGTGGTCCAAAGGACGAGGCAGCAGGCTGGGAGGGGTTGCATCCTTTCACAGTACTGCAGCTTTTGCCTTCTGAAGGGGAATGTGTGAAACCCCAGCCAGGCAGTGGGATCTGGGGCATTGTAGGCTGATGTAAGGCTGTCCTCATACCGTGTTTTCCTGACTTCTTTATTGTGCCCTCTGCCTTGCACTCAGATTCCTGCAACACTTCTGGGAGCTGATCTGGTTGTAGTCCAGTTGCTTCTTCTTTTCTTGACAGGGTTAGTTTTTTGTCCAGTTTACCACTTTTGAGTTGATTTTCTATGTTATAGGGTTTGCCTGTGATGTGCCAGGGTTTAGGTCAGTCTAAATAGCCTTGGTATTTCATCCTTGGTGAGCCTTAGTGAGCAGAGCTGTTTTGTAGCTTTGAAAGTTAACATACTAAGGTGGTTTCTTACTTGAGGATTAATTTAGTACTAAGTAAAGGTAGTTCTTTGAAGGTGATCAGTTTTCCATGTTTTCCCAATTCTTAAATGGGCTATTTAGGGCGATCTTTTGAAAACTGGAGACAGAAATGTATAGTGTAAACACACTCTTAAGACTTTCTACCTAGGGCAAATGTAGATGTATTTTTGGATTAAGAAGAATGTTACTCCTTCTTAGTTTCTCTATAGAGAGACAAGAGCTGATAGAGTACCAACTTGTCATTGTTTGGAAGCGTGGACTGGACTGGAACTGTGACACATTCCCTTAAGTCCAGTCCTGATAAGATGGGGACTGTGGGACACTCCAGTAGGTAAGCGTAGAAGGAGCTAAAGCAGCTGCTTTGCTAAATTTCTTCTGACCAGACACAGCTAGTGATGTTGAGAGGGAGATATAAACTTCTCTCATTTCTTTCCAGTCTGTTACATTCAATATATGCTTTAAAATTATAGAGGCCGATTTGTCTGTTGAGTAGAACAAGCTTTAGCTTTCTTAGAAACTCTTGTACTTAGGATAGAAAAAAATATTCACTTAAGAATGTACGGTATCTGTTAGGAGTGTGTAGGTACTTGATTTTGTCCATCTGCAGATGGACGTGACAGTCGTTCAAAATCTGTGTTGCAGCATTTTTGTGTCTTGTCAATCTCATATTTGGTGTTTCTGTTTGTTATCTGCTATGACTAGGAAGAATATTTGCCCTCCTTTCACCTCCTCTGTGCTCAAACTTCTGTGCTCTCGTTCTTGACACATAATGCATCGCTCGTGTTTCCTGGGCTGCCTTTGGGTGCGTCTGTGCTTAAGAATGATAAGAGCATAGATGTTGGAGAATGTGGACATTGTAAAGAAATGAGATGTTTTTTAAAACGCCTGACACGTTTATGCTTCTGTATGGATGGACAAGTCAATCTTCAGATATGGAATAAGAAAGAACTTTTCTTTGAAGTTAGATTTTTTGGTTTGTCATCTTTCTTTTGCAGCACACACTTTGTTCGGTTTCTTAATGCCTTTGTGTACTTTGATCTCGTGAACTTCCATCGTAGGTCTATAGAACATGGCGGTGTGTTTGATCTCCCGTTGCCTGTGCTGTGTGGCACACACTCTTCCATGTCTTTCAGAACCTCTTTTACCGAGATCAAAGTGTTAGAGGGTGTTCAGAAATGCTTTATGACATGTGGTGTGTGTGCATGTGTCGTTGTGTTGCCCTTGGTTGCCAAGAACTTGGCTCTGTGACCTTGGCAAGTCCTTCCAGCCTCAAAGACAGGATACTGCAATTTGTGTACAGGAAAAAAAATATACGTTATTCCAACTGAACAGCAAGTTTGTACAAGAACTGAGAGGAAAACCACAAGTCATATGAGTAGTCACAACCTTGTGCAAGGTAACCTTTCTTTTCGAGAGGCTAAGGTAGTTGTGACCGTTTTCTTTTCACTCTTGCTGAATTGCTTATCAGTGCATTTGATAACTGATGACTTTCAATGCAAGTTGAGGAGGTCTGTGACATGTAAAATGTAGCTTCCTGAACTGATAGAAGAAATTAGGAATGGCTGAGACTCAAAGCTGTGGATTGAAAGTGAGGTAGCAAAGGCTTGATCTCCTTGGCAACCAGTATTTTCATGAATGAACTGACCACTGAAAAAATGTTTGAATAAAAGTTATGGATAATGTTTAGCTAACAGCAATTGCACATGTATGAGTTGAAAACACAGAACGTTTTGCAAGTTCATAAGAAGCTGGCCAAGTACATGTCCTCACGCTTTAACTGCAAAAAGCCTTGAAGTAGCTTACCTGTATAAATCATGATATGCAATACAATAAAATAGACTGAAACTAGGCTCCCTGTACAACTATCTTAATTAAATAAAATCTTAATGTGTAAGAATTCTTAAAATCTATTTCTAGTATCAGTTAAAAAATAGTCATGGAATATTCTAGAGAAATATCAGACCTTTCTGGATAGATCTGGGGTATCAGTAGAGATGTCAGTAGTTATTCTGATTTATAGTGTGTAAGACAAGAATTGTAATTATTTAGTTGTTCTGTGTGAGTTCTGATACTGGTTTTCAGTACTGGAATGCACATTGAGTATCAACTTGATGATAAATGGTTTTGAGTGCTTAGGGAGAAAAATGAAATTAAAGGTGGATAAATATATGTAAACTTCATGTGTGACCATCTAATTAGAAAGGTGAAACCATTAATCCGTGGAGAGGGAGACTAATTATATCCGGTATTTTTTATATTGGTCAATTAATATTTCTGATAAGCAGAAAATCTTTCAGATTTGTGACTAGAGGGCAGAGAAAAGTAGTTTGCATGAGATATCTAGAAGCGATTTGCATTCTTGTTAAGCAAATCAGCTTACTGACAAAAAGTGTCAAGGGGAGCTGAGGAGGTATTTGTCTTGAAGACATTTGGATACCTGAGTAGAAACTTGAACTTCATGGATGATTCATAAAAATTGAATCAAATAGATTCTCCCAATATAAGGAGATAACACTTGACATTGAACAAAAATGAGTTACGTTGTAAATGCTTATGCACCTTAAGAGTAGAATTTCCCATGTAATTGAAAAAACAATAATCTTGTTGAATGTTGTAGCTAGTTGTTTCCTTCTTCTGGATTACAGAATTTACTGTGTGAATACGTCTGTCTGCTGGATGGGAAAAGTAAAGAAGTGACCGGTGTTGTCTAAAAGCTCTGCTTTATAGCTCTTTATTTATTTTTTTTTTCCTATAGCCTCCACGCCACCCAGCAGAGTAAATAAACGCAGAGTTTCTCCAAGTGTTGTTTCCACCTGGGAAAAGAGAACCATCATCATGTCTAACATTACTATTGATCCAGATGTCAAACCTGGCGAGTATGTCATCAAAAGCCTCTTTGCTGAATTTGCTGTTCAAGCTGAAAAGAAAATTGAAGTTGTAATGGCTGAACCTTTGGTGAGTCCCTTTTTTTCTTGGTATCCCTTGAAATGGTCCTGTTTTTTCTTTCTCTTTTTTTTTATTTTTATTTTTTTAGTAAAATAGGGATCATATGTATGGTTACTGCAAAAAACATACCCAGATATTGACTTTTCAAAGGGATTACTTCAAGAATAAATAGGCTTCTGCAAACAGAGTTGCTGCCCAGGTTGTGTTTTATTGACTTCCGTTAAAACTGTTATGCAGTGGTTACTGGCAATGAGACCTCTTAGTATTCGTAAGTTCTGTAAAGTTACAAAAGGAAATAGCGACAACTAAAAAATGTTCCTTCATTAACACTGTGAAGTGTATTTCCTGTTTATAGTTCTTTGAAATAATGCGTCGGCAGTATACTTCCAAGAAAAGGCGCGTATGGTTTGTTTTCCCAAGTAGTAACTCTAATGCCTGGAAGGATATAGTAGCCAGAATATGTTGCACATTAGACAAAAAGCAAAATTGTGTTGGTGATCCAGATTGCATGATCTTGAAATAAATGGATGGTTTTTTTCCTTGGAAATTTCTGGGAAAAAAGTGGCTTTTTCACTTGGAAATTTCGTGAGCAGGTGAGATGCTGGAGCTCAGAGAAGGCTCAGAGTTGCAGCTGCTGCTTGCGGGCGGGTTCATGGGCAGAAGTGGACGTGTGAGCGTTTGAGCCTCAGTTTTGAAATATTAAAAAAATTTCTTCTTAAGAAGCAGTCCAAAAGAACACAGAAATGGGGCTAAACATGTTTTGTGGAGTCACTAATGGAGTCACCTTCAACTAAACCCATCAGTAGATCAATGTCCCAGAAAAACGAAACACTTCATACACACCTACTTAACTATGTGTGTGTGTGTTTGCCAGGCAAGCCTACAGTTTAAACATAACTTGTCTGTTTCCTTATAGACATTCAGAAGAGTCAGGTATTCAGGAAGGTTTGATAAGAACCAAAGTGAGAAGATAAGAGAGAAACTTGGTAGGGAAAAATGTTGAAGGGGAACGTGGCTAAGAAATGAGAGATTTGCAGGGGTGCTAAAATGTACGGGGAGGGCAGTGCTTGGTCAGAATGATGCAGGCTGGCTGCAATTCAGATGATCTGAGGGGAAGGCTTTTCCTGTAGACACAGCTAGCTTGGAGTTAAATCTCTTAACCAGAATACTCATATAGCAAGGTAAATATTACAGCCCTGGAGTTCACTTGTGCTGCAAAACTTGTCCCTAGACCAGATTAAATAAATCCCCTGACAACAATCAGGGCTGTGTGTCCCTGCCATGCTATTGACTGTTTATTAAACAAATGTTTTAAAATCTGTTAATTACACAAAATCAAAACATCTTGCCGGATTAAAAATTAGCAAACCTATGAAACTAATGAAATAACACACTTGTCAAAGAAGAGTGATTCCCAGCCTTTTTGTCTGGTGAGTTCTTACGGTGACTGCGTGAAGCCTGCCTTAATCAGGATCTTTTACAAATAAGATTATGAAATTTATATTTTATGTATATACAGTATGCATAAAATCCTTTGGAATAAAATAAATTACGAATATTACTGGAGGAGCCATTTGCAAAGGTGTTTAACAGCTCTGAGTTCATTTGCTAAGTTGAATTCCTTTAAACAAAATGATTTTTTAATGCAATCAAATGTAAATTTACACATACAGCCAGCATTCCTTACGTTATATTGCTGGGGAGGAAGGATAGCAATTTAAAAGAGGTGCCAAAAGCTGTGGAGAAATGAAACAACCTGAGTGTATGTAGCACAAAGAGGTAGAAGGGAATCTTTAGGTGTCTCAGTGAAAAGAAGTACTGAATTGGTTTTATTTTTGTATGTAGTGTTTGATATATTTGAAATCCAGATATACTGAATATTCAGCTCTAGTGATGACAGAAAGAAAGATGAAAGGCTGGAAGGGCACAAGAAAGGCACTGACTGAGATTGGAGAAAAGGCTTTAATGGAAGAGAGGAAAGCCCTTTATCATTTTAGTGTGATTTGATTTTGTGGGATGACTTGGCTGCAAATAATAATGTGGAGAATATGTATATGGTGTTACATAAATCTTCAATGTGTTAAATGAAGCTAGGCTCTTGGATAAAGCTGTTGGAGAGAATTTGGAGCCAGACCAATTAAAGCTAGACACTTTTTAAAGCTTGAAGATGAACATGCCAGTAGGGGAGCAAAAATTAATTAAAAAATAATATATAAATAGTAGCTTTGGATGAAGACAGCACCAGAGGGTGACAGATTGGTACCATTTTGGCTAGATGTATGGGTTTCATTTAGAAGGAACTGATTTTAGAAAGTAACTAAATGGTTTCTCTAGCTGTGAATTTACTTATGATATTCGGTGTGTAACAATCCAGTTTCCTTTCACTGATTTAATTAAGAGTTCTCTGCTTGCAAAATTTTAATACCGCAGAGTTTCCAAAGTTACAGAGGGAGCTTATAATCAAATGCTTAAAATGATACAACTTGGAAGCGTAGCCACAAGAAGTAAGATCATCGTTTTAGTGAGTAATTTAAATTAGAACACTTTTTAAAAATCAATTCTTCTAAGTCTTTTGTAATAGTATGTAGTTTTAAAGGAAAAGGCATTCAGACACAATTTATTGTAGCTTATTTCTCAGCCGAGACAGGATGGCTGTGAGGCATGGTATCAGCATTCCCCAGATGTGAAACAAAATATACCAGTGAAAAAGGCTAGTGATAAAGTCGGTTACCTTGTAGTTTCTCAGGCTCCACGTAAATACAGATGCTTGGAATTTCAGCAGAGTTTAACGAGGTGCCATCCAGTTACCAAACTGTTAACTAGGTAAGCTGCTAACTCACTAAATTGTGGTTCAGTCTCATGCTTTAAAGCAAAGCTAGCAAGAAGAGCATTTAAACCTGTTGTCAACATCAGTGATTTTTTTTTCCATCGTGAAGACCATAGAATGGTCTAGGTTGGAAAGGACCTTAAAGATCATCTAATCCAACCCCCTGTCATGGGCAGGTACGCCTCTCAACTAGATCAGGCTACTCAAGGCCTCATCCAACCTGGCCTTGAACACCTCCAGGGAGGAGGCAGTCACAACTTCCCTAGGCAATTTGTTCGAGAGTCTTGCCACCCTCATACTGAAGAATTTTTTCCTGAGATCCAATCTAAATCTCTTCTCCTTTAACTTAAATCCATTTGCCTTTGTCCTATTGGTAGACACTCTTGCAAAAAGTCCCTCCCCAGCCTTCCTGTAGGTTCCCTTCAGGTATTGGAAGGCAATACCTAAATATTGCTCAGCCTAGCACAGTTTACTTTTGCAAGCTTTGTCCGGGCACTTTCAAAAGCTCGTCTGAGGTCTGCATAAGTTTGCACTCTGCAGTTCTTCAGTGCAGCATTTCACTGAGGCTGCCCGGCGCTTGGACAGTGGGAGGCACGGCAGCATCGCTCCTCTGGTTCCTTATTTCCGAAATGCATAGGCTCATTTGTTCTGCTGCGTTCGCCTGAGCCAGCCGGCTGAGACATGCTGGCCGCCCGAGGAGGGTGCCAGTGAATGCTGGAGAGGGGCCAACGGGTGGTACCTTTTTGCAGGGGTGCAGTTATTTGCACAGCGCACGCACGTCTGTCTACATCCTGATCTGCGCTGCTTGCCGTGTGTTGACATTGCTGCGTTACACAATGGATGCAAACTGCTCTTTGGTTAGGTTAATTCAACAGTGGTTCTTTTTTTAAAAAAAATTTTCTTTCTTTCTTTTTTATTTGTAAAAGATAAATGTAGACGTATTATTTCCATCTCTCTGAACTTCAGGAAGCCAGAAAAACCTTAAATTATTAATTCAGTGAAAGTTTCCAGACCTTTATTTTGTGCTGTTAGATAGATTTTTGTAAATCATGTGAGCCAGCCTGCGCCATGACAAAGCAGAGTTAGAAGACATTGAAAGAAAATAGGTTTTAAAGCCATGCAAATAATTCAAAGGCCTTGATAAACCTGTGACTGGGTTAAAGAGTATTATTTGTTTATGTCACGTTTGTTTGGTCAGTGTTACAGTATCTACGGTGATATGTACCTTTTAGTACTTTAAGTCCTTTAATGCTGAAGAAAAATTGTAGAGACAATTAGAAACTTGTAAGGTTTTCATTCTTTCTGATACTAAAATTCTTAAAAGTTATATCAACATTTGATATACAGAAGTGTCTTAATTAGTATAGAATGGGGGGGGAAAAGCTAAACTTTGAGAAGAATCTTAAAAATTGTTCACTATCTATTAAAAGGGATTTCAACTTTTTGCGAATACTTAACAGATTATTTCACCTCTCTTTGTTCTCATTCTTTAGCTATTTCTGAGTTTAGACATATGCAGTAGGTATAGTATACTCAATGTTTGTTCACCCTTATAACAATTTTGTAGTACTGTGGTGGAAATGTGGCATGTTTGGGGCGTCGTATCATAAGGAACCTGACTTTTACCATATTCTTACAGGAAGGTCACTTCTTGGGAAATAGATTTCTGGTTATGTTCCTTCAGTTTATTTAGTAATATATAATGTTTATGTAGGGTGGATTTCTCATGTTTCTGCTTGATAGATAAGATTACACTTACTTGTGCAGTTTATCAAAAAGCATAGTACAGATAACATGAATTCACCTGCAGCAGACCTTTCTTTATTTAAAAAAAAAAAAAAAGGAGTGGGAGGAATTCTAGTTAAAAGAAGAGCTTTTTGTTAAAAGAAGAGCTAGTTAAAAGAAGAACTTCTAGTTCAAAGAAGAGCTTTTAGTACTGGCTGCAAAATGTCAGTGCTCATAATGGTATTTTGAACAGACTTAACACTTAAAATTATAGGATTTTTCATATTGAAAAAGTGTTTATTTGACAGTATCTGAAACCTTTTCTTTCTTGTTTTTGAGTACACTGTGAAAGAACATTGACCAATACATCAATTGATGAACAAATAGAACTGTTTCAGGATATTAATTTCATTTTCCTGAAACCTCTTCTTTTTTAAAATATATTTTTTTTATGTAAGCATACTAGAGGTGTATATTAAAGACAGTGTTTTCTTAGACAGTTAAGTGGGTTTCTTTGGATTATAGAAAGTGAAAATGGTCTCACTTGTGAATTGGTATCTGTATTATTTCAAGTTTTATTTTCAAAGTAGACAAATGCTTTTTGCCTGAGTAATGTTGAATTCAAGTTTTCAGAGGCTGTAATAGTTGCCAGAGATCATGTCCTTTTGAACATGAAATACAGCTGCACTCATGGCAAAACATGCCAGAAGTTGTCTCTCAATTTAAAGATTATGATTAGGCTAAGGAAAAATAAGCTGCCGGTTTGAATGTTGGACTTGGCGCATGCGATTCCAGTTTGTATCTGTTTAACAAACAGCCTATCTTGCAGCCTTGCAAGTGTTAAACGCGAAGCCGTATCGACTTGGAAAATTGTTGTCAACAGCCTGAGAGCATGGGTGTTGTCTCTTACTAAATTATGGAGCAGTTATTTTGTGTTAACTGAGGCACAACCTGTTGGGAGCAGTGCTGGCTATCAGTATTGCTGACACCTCCTTTTGCATCCAGATCAGGCAATTTAACAGCTCTTCCAGTTTACTACTTGACTTAACTTGCTCTGTGAAAGCTTTTTGTTCGCACACTGCAATCTAATCTGAGCTACTTACCTTGGGTGGCTTTTCTACTTTCCCTGTCAAAGATAAAATTTTGATTAATTTTTTATAAAGTGAAAAGCATTTTAAAATTTGTTTAAATAGCAAAAAAATAAATGCTCATCACATCTTAAAGCTCTTACTGTGGCACTTGGCTTAACGTAATTCCTTGACTCTCAGAGCCAGTACATGGGACTTAATCTTTATTTTTTATTTTTGTTTTTTCACTTTTCTTTCTTTACATTCCAGGATACTCTAGCAAGGGACTATAGAAGTTGTATTTCTTTAACTGTATAATTTAGTACTCTCCACAGTGTCTAGTAAGACTTACTGTTGCATTACTCTTATGGTCCATGAGTGTTTTGTTTTCTTCATGCTTTAATTCTCACTAAATTATTTTGCCAAGAATATAATTTTATTTTTATTTTAACAGAGCACTATGTCTTATGTTACTGGTAACAATGAAATATTGCAATAATTAAATTCTGGTGGTAATGCATCTTTTCTGTATACCGTACAAAGTTATTACAAATGTAAAGCAAGTTATTATTGTCATTCTTCTTCTCCTGGACTAGGTTTTCCAGCTATTTTTCACTGCAGTTCAGGAAAAGCCCAGATTAGAAATGTGTTAACAATTGTCTCTGCCTTTGTGAAGGCATTTGAAAATTCATTCTTGTAGCTTACAGTAACTGCCTTATATGAGCATGAATATGCTTGTTAATTCGGATGGGAATGGCTTTCCTTCTAAGTTACACTTGGCACCCACTGGCAGCTATCTCTGTTGTGCACAGCGCTGTAGGCCCTGCTATTTGGTAGAGGTGTTTGTCATTTTCTTGTTTGTCAGTCTTGAGTGTTATTACTTTTAAACTAACAAATTATTTTAGATCCGTATCCTTCCATTTTCATGTCTTCAGAAGTGGTTCTAGCTGAAATATATTGCAAATACATTAGAAGTTATTTCTTTGTTCTGTAATATAAATTGGAAAGAAGCAATCTATCTTTGTTAACAGTCAATTGCATTGTGAAATTCTTGTTACTTCTTATTTTTTTACAGGAAAAGCTGTTGTCCAGATCTCTTCAAAGAGGTGAAGATCTTCAGTTTGATCAGGTAGGAGACACGTGATTGAAGGCAGTTTTTATTGGATTAAGATGGACTCTGTTTTTGCACAATAGCGGTTCCAGTGTTGTAATGACTTGGAACGTCCACATCTGAATCGTCATCAGGAGGCCTAGACATTGAATGTTAGTTAGACTTTATTTTCTGTTGTAGAATATGAAAGTAAGAAACTACTACATTAGGTCAGCTATTTGAAGATGGCAAGGAAAGCTGCTAGAGGAAAGATGCTGAGATCTGGTAGGGGACAGAAAGAATGTATTTCTATTCCTCTTAGCAGGCTTTGTGAAACCTCAGCCTGTATCACTTACTGTTTCAGTGTTTGGGTTTGCATATAAAATATGCAAATAGTGTTAATTTCAGTAACATGGCTTTTACTGAGGGCTTTTTGATTCCTTGTCAGAAAGATGTGAGGTAAATTACTTTGTCCTCCGCTGAGTCACACTGTGAGGCTATTCTGTTTCACTTAATATAAGTGCACAGTACCTGGAATAATAGCCTGCTGAATTTATTCAGGCTTATTGTCTGCACTTCTATTTCTTTCCTGGTATGGGCATGTTTTTGTTCCATGACTACTTCCTTGCAACAGAGAGCAACTTTCAGATGAAGCCCCATTAATTGCCTATTGCGGTTCTTAACTGTTACTGAATAGCATCTCACTGCATGAGGTTTAGTGTTCTGTCCATATCTTCAGTAACTGGGTTTTTGTTTCATACTTTCCATTACTCCTCAGATGTAAGCATTAAACATTGCAATGAAATCTATCCACCTGCCTCTGCTTTTCAATTAATAGCCATCCATGCGCCTCTTTTCCCTCGTCCCCAAAGAGAAACAAATAATAGTATGTAATGTTTGAAGTATAATTTTATTTTCAAAGAAAATCAAAATCATCACCAAAAACCACGCTCAGCCTTTTAACATTTTCTAATCTAACTGCTTTAAGGCCATTATATGAAATAAGGCCATTAAATTGTATGATACAAGGCCATTAAATGAAAGTTTACTCATAAGCAGGGGAAGTGGATGTCAGGGGGGCGGGGAGTAAATTCTTTGATAGCTACAGTATTTTGTTTCAAGCTGACTGAAAGCTAAATAATATGCATGATAGGGATGGCCTAAGGAAATCTGTCAATTAGTAATATTACTCGGTTTTATGTCAACTCTGGTTGCCTTTCCTACTGTCATATCCCTCCTCAGTTAAGGATTTCTTTTATAAATCACTTGTAGTCATGTGTTGAACTACATATAGGGTCTAAAAATATGCTAAGTGAAGAAAAGTTTAAAAAAAAATATAACTTTTGAAATTTCTTAATATAGAATGTCTTAAAAATTTTAAAAATAATTTATTTTAAAATATTGAGAAGTGTAAACTCATTTTCCTGAAAATATAATACGAAAAAGAATTTTTGATTGTGTGTGTAGATATGCATGTGAGTTCTTATTTTCCCTCTTTTTATATTTATGTTCTACTTTGAGTTCACAGAAATCTGAATTTTAATGTTAACTGAATAACTACTATAGAAAGTCAGAGAGGAATGGCTCCCTTTGAATTTTGATAGGGAATTTTGAACATTGTTTGGCAAAAGGAATTAAGTTCGCTTCTCTCCTTTCATTGCTTGGTTTACTAAGATCGGTTGTCCAACAGCACGGGTGATTGCAGAGTAAAAAGAGATTGACAAAGAACCGGAGAGAGGAGGATCCAGAGTGCTCGGCTGCGGTCTCCAGCAGAGAAGCCGGAGCTGTTGCTGGGCCCACCTGGTTCACCCTGATTTCTTTACAGAGTCAGGAATCTGAGTCTAAAAACTGACTTCAGCTGTACTGATCCGGTGCCTGAGCTAGAAAGTGTTGTACTTTGTGAACAGAAAGAGCATGACTGAAACACAAGAGGGACTCTGGGAGTAAGAAAGGATCTAGTTTACACTCATTCTCTCAGATCAGAGGCGAAGGATGGAGGAGAAAGGTGTATAGTCCACATCATGTAAAAGTAAAATAGCTGCTAAATGGGATTAAAAATTGTTTCGGTTGGAACCATCACCGGAACAAGAGGGCTGCTGTTAGATCCAAGTGTGCCAAATCAATAGTTTTTAATTTTCAGATAGTACAATTCTTGTATTTGTCATTGAAGTTTTAATTGTAGATTTAGCTAAAAGAGATGAAACTTTGGAAACCGACAAGGAAATTTTTATGTTGATACACTTCTAAACCATTAAAAATTTTAGCATTTTTGTACGAGTTCACTTTGTTATTCCCAGAGCATCAAGAACCTACCGGAGAGGAGCTTTTTTCATAGAGCATATATTGCATTTCTTAAAATATTTTTGCTTGTACAGCTTGAAACTGAAATAGCTTGAATTTTTCTTCTTTTGTTTATTATAAGAATCATACCTGGCAATTTCCTACTCTTGTCCTAAGACACCAAAACTTCAGGCATATTGTGACCATCTCAGTGACTGAAAGCAGATGTGTCTCTGGGATTCAGGCTTGTTCATCATTAGCCACCACTTGAGCAGTTTTTTCAGGATCAGGATTTGGGCCATAGTTGGAATTTGGGCTTGAGCATCTTACTATCGTCTCTCACTCCTTACCGCTCAGTGTGCCCCTGGATATGTTAGGTGCAGGAGTTAGCAATGTGTTACGGCCTTTAAGACTGGAGCACGCTTTGCTGTTTCATTCCGAGGAATATAAGTCATGATGACGACTGGTGTAGCCCTGTCCTCTTGGGCATTACAGGATCTCTCTTCATCCAGAGGGTTGCTGTCAACCTAGGCATGCTTTAATGCTAAAATGAAAGAATTGTCTTATGATTTTTATATATGATTATCTTGAACTTAGTATCCAAACAGCAAGGTTGATCATTTTAAATAAAATGATTAAGCACATAGCAGCTTAGCAGCTGTGTAATCCAAGCCAAGATTTAATCTTTCTCATAATTCCAGTGTCTTTTTGTTAGAATGTTAAGGGTGCAAAACTCAGCGGGAAATACGAATTGTAATTGTAAAACTGATTTTTCATTTCAAGACCTTTATAAACTCAGTAGTTTCTGGATTTAGCACTTTGCCAATGACATTTTTTTTAATGCATGAGATACAGCTTGTTTCTGTGCAAAACAATAGATATATTGCCTAACTGCTGGATCGATTATGATAACACAGGGTAACCTTAGTGTTCGCGTAATCTGTTCCTGTCCTTTTGTGTAGTTGCTGTAGGAACATAGGTCTGTGTAACCTATTGGGTCTATCATTATTTTTAGAGAAAGGGAACTTTGTTATTTTTAGAAAAAGAGATAATAATGTATTTCCCCAGCATTTAGATTTTTGCAGGATATGGGCATCAACAGTAAATTCTAAAGGCAAAACATGTTTTGGATTGCTGTGGTTGGTGATAGATACCTTCATCAAGATTAGTTTTAGCTTTCATTCTAAAGATTACCAGTTACACTGATGATTTTATACTGAGTCTCATACCTTCAGTTCAGTAACTAAAGAGCCGGGCAGGTTCTTTCTGCTTTCTGAATCTTTTTTGTTTTTCAAATAATTAATACTTGGTTCTTGTGACTTGAATAGCTGGCCAGTTAACAAGAAGAATAAAGTGTCCACATGGTTGAAAAAACATCCTCCTGAGGTTTTCCTATGGTTAACCTACCCCCATCCTTTCCCAAACCTGAAAAATCAAGATACTTCAAATGAGGACAAAGAAATAATGGCATTGATGTTATGTTTATTTTCCCAAAATTGTCAATAATAGATGTTATAGCATGAGGATGGCTTCTTTTCAAGCCTCTTATTTGAAAGATGCAAGAGGTAATTAATATATGACATCGGAACAACGTGGTGACTCTCCTTTTCCAGCCAGTGTTCTGGGGATGAGCTTGCTTCCTGCTGCCTCCTGGCAAGGAGTTTGTAGCTGCTTTATGCTTGCTTTCTCCAGCCCTTCTTCTCTCCAAGTACTGATGAGTCCCACTGAAGTGTAGTTTAAAGGAAGCCTAGGGAATTTAAGATTCATACCCTGTTAAAAGTCTTCCTTCTCTAATGATTTCTGTTGCCACTGTTTCATGGCTAGGTTTACAACTCATATGGCTCTTCTGAAAGGAAGCATTAAATAGGGGAGTTATGCTTAAGAGAAAAATAACTTGAGATCTAGACCAGTCAAATATATTAAAAGTTGACTACAATATCTAAAAGGCTCTTTATATATATATATACATATTTATATGTATTTATATATATATATATATAACAAAGGAGCATGATTTTGAAGGTGTTGCATACTTGCCTCATTCAGGAGGGTTGCCTCTTACCTGTCATTTGTAATGTAAAGGTACAAATGCATCAGAGATACATATGGCAACATTCAGGGTCATCCTAAAAACCTCTGCTGTTTTCTCAGGAGTTTTATACAAGTTATCTGTATGAATTTAGGATTCTGTTATCTCCGTGACCTTCAGAACACTTTGTCTGGTTACATTTACCGTAATACATAAATGATATTAAGGATCTTTTCCAACATAAAAGATTCTATTATATTTGCAGTAATTATCCCAGGTAAAAATAACATATAAGATTGCTGCTTTGTTTTTAACATTAAAAACTAATTTGAAGGAACAAGTATAATTCTAGGAATTTTGGATTGCTTTACCATGCTGAACTTTTCTTCATACTCTTTGTTTTCAGTTGATAAGCTCTATGAGCTCAGTAGCAGAGCACTGTCTCCCCTCCTTATTACGCACCTTGTTTGACTGGTACAGGCGTCAAAATGGAACAGAAGATGAATCTTATGAATATAGACCTCGGTCTAGCACGAAGTCGAAGGGGTAAGAGTTTTCCTTGCAAAAGTCAGTTTGATTTTTGTGTGCTTTGTACTATTTTGATAAATATTTTGTATTTGGATCTGTCATTGGCTATATCTGTGTAGAAATAGCATGGACTTCTGTGAGGTAGTGTATTTAATTAGATACTCAGGAAGCGACTTAATGAGTGTGGAGTTGATACACAGAAGGAAATTGGATGCTGATAATTCTAAGCTGCTTTGTCTCTTTGTTTTGGCTTTTGGTGGGTCCTTTCAGGAAGGGTCAAGATGTCAGTGTTGCACTAACCCCCCAGAAGTCTTTCTAACCATCCATTTTATACGTGTATGCAACAGTGGTTGCGTGAAAGACGTATGTACCCCTTTTCTGCAATATTTGTGTCTAGGCCTGCGTATGATATATGTGCTCTTGATTTCTTATTTTAGGGACGACCAACAACGTGAAAGAGATTATCTACTTGAAAGGAGGGATTTAGCTGTAGATTTCATTTTTTGTTTAGTTTTAATAGAGGTTCTAAAACAGGTAAGCTCTTTTGCCTTGACAAACTTAATCTTTTGCTTTTAATGTCAATTTTTATAATCTTTAAATTTTTATATTAAAAGCTGGAGAATATATAGTTTGAGTATATGCAAGGCTGTAATCATACTCTCAGTTGCATAAAGCCTTTGGCCTCTCCTGTCCATTCTTTATATGCCTGGCTGACCTCAGTTCACGTGCCTTGGATCCCCATGTGTTGCCTGGTCTAGTCGAGAGGTGGCGTCCCTGCCCATAACAGGGAGGTTGGACTAGATGATCTCTAAGGTCCCTTCTAGCCTAGGCCATTCTATGATTCATTCTATGATTCTATGATCCTCTTAAGTCAAAGCTGCAGATGTATTGCAAATGACAAAACTGTAGAAAGTAACATTTTATTTATGTTCAGTACCTTTTCTGTTGAATGGAGTACATGTTGCCAGTGATTCTGATGTCAGGAGAGGTGCCAAAGTTTTAGTTTTGGATATAGTCTGTGATGACTCCTATAATGCTTGGTGAGCCTCTTGCGCTTGTACTCCAGACAAGATAGGTATTTTTCTGATAATACTATTTTCCTCTGCTAAAGACCAACAATGGGCCACTAAACGTAGGTATACCACTTGAGAGAATCCTTCTGTCAATTTAGTATTAGGAGATAAAATTCGTAGACAGAATATCTAAAGGAGAGTTTGTATGTTTGGCCTGTAATGTGAATCTGCAATTAGGTTGTCAAACAAAGCACAGAAGGAATGGCTTTTTATCAAGCCGTGTGTGAATACGTTGCACCTGTCTTCTTGGGAGCCCTGTCGTTGTTTGATTCTTAGAAACTGTTTTTAGTGGGTGCAAAGGGTATGATCCAGCCCTTTCTGTAATATGCACAGAGCAGCCAGAGAGAGGGTGATAGACATGACCTATGTAGGAACAAAAATCTTTTGCTTAAATTACTGCATATTACTCATTGTATGAGTATGCATGTAAATAGCCAGTTCCAGTAACTGGAAGTTCTTAGACAAATAGCTTTCCTGATGCAAAAGAATATGAAAAACTCAAGCAGTACATGCTTAATTTTGTGTAGGCAAGACAGTAATCTTTTCTAATATATTTTAGTGAAAATCTTAGTCACTCTTAAGCAGAAATGTTTAGTAGGGTTATCCTAGTGTCTGCATAAATTGCTTTGTAATTTGAAAGATATTATGACCTCAAAATTATTTATAGTGGTTTTTTAAAGGAATACATTTGATTTTTAAAGAAATGTTTTCTTTTAAACCTGAGATAATGGTGATGTCAAAGAGAACCTTGGTAAAAAAAGGCCTTCTAATCAATGCTTGATTTTGGTTTCTCACCACATTGTTACTTATTGCTAGGAGGTTTTCTGTATGTTTTGGGAGCTTTCATCTGCAGAAAGTCTAAAATGGAGATGATAATCTCTTCTGCATTCTTAGTTTTTTGTTTTGTCTTCCTTTTCATATGCAGATGAATTGCATTTTGAGGCTAAATCTGTAGTAGTAACGACGCATGAGATAGTGTGGAAAGATGCAGAGTTAACCTAGTCCGATAAATTTTGATGACAAATTCATAATGTTTACATCGCTGTTATTATTAATTTAATCCCTAAAGGCCAGTATGCAAAATAATTTAAGACAATGTCAGTATAGGTTGTGTAGTGGTGTACATGATGCAGAATTAACTTAATAATTGTATACCAACAAAGGATGTGTCCTTCCACACTAGTGGGAGAGATTTCTGCAGGGCATCTCACAGTACTGGTTACTTACTTCAAGCATACATACATACATGCGTGTATTTACATGCCTAGTTACATATATATAAATGATACCTGCATTTCAGATACCTGTTCATCCAGTGCCAGATCCTTTAGTACATGAAGTTCTAAACTTGGCTTTTAAGCACTTTAAACATAAGGAAGGGTAAGTTTCACTTGTGTGCTTTGAAACATTTTTGCATGTATTATGAGCCTTTGTGTGATTGTTGTGATTGTTCTCTTTTGCCTCATATGTACCATGTTGGTGATAATACTGTAAATGAACATTGGTTGAGATCTTTAAACTGAAAACATGTCAAATATAATGCTGTGTTTATTTTGCTTAGCATATGCAGAATAATGTGCACAGCTAGTCAGAGAAAGAAAATCTTGGTCTGGGTAACTATAATTGACTTCCTATGCAGAATATATGTCTGATGTTCAGTGAAACTACATCACCCCTGCATTTAATGCCTGACTTTCATTGTTTTTATGATAATAATCTGCCTTGCTATTCCATAGATTATTATCATAATAGCAGTTTTGCTTGTAATTGAGAACATGCTTTGGGTTTAGAAGAAAAAAGATGTGTTTAACACCTTTCCCCCTGCCTTTGTTTTCTCTTTAGGTATTCAGGAACCAACACTGGGAATGTGCATATTATTGCAGACCTATATGCAGAAGTGACAGGGGTTCTTGCTCAATCAAAGTAAGTTCAGTCTCTGACTCTTCTTGCTTTTGAGAAAAAGTGACTCTAGACTTAAAGACTTCAAAGCAGCATTTACCAGTGACCCCAGTCACTAATCCCTTAAGTGTCAAGTATAGTCAGGTGTAGTCTGGCATGTCTGTCTTAGATTCCAGAACAACAAATTTGAACAATTCAAGAAATAATCTTTAGTGCAGTACTGAATTGCTTTGCGGTCAGGTTGTAGATGCAGGGAAGGGAGACCTGGTATCAGTCAGTTGTTCAGTTACCAAGTGCATTCTAATGTGCTGATCATCACAGGCACTCTTAAATGCCTAGATTTTAAGTATCAGGGTTCATCTTGCTTGTGTTACTTTTACTGTAGGTGTTCTTATCATTAACAGACTGAAGAAATGGGTTCAGAATTATATGATATAAAAGTAACTAAGGATGCAAATAATTGCCATCTCTATCCCTTGTTCAGATTTCAAGCTGTTAGGAAGAAGTTCGTCACTGAATTAAAGGAACTGCGACAAAAAGAACAGAGTCCTCATGTAGTACAAAGTATAATCAGTTTAATTATGGGAATGAAGTTTTTTCGAGTAAAGATGTATCCCGTGGAGGATTTCGAAGCATCATTTCAGTTCATGCAGGTAAATGAGTATTACAGAGAGCTGAAATGAGCATAATTTTGATTAAGTCATGAAGCTACAACAATACTTGCTGTGATCTGTTGCTCACTCTGTGGGTTGTCCTTCATCCTTTTCTGTTCTTAGAGGTATGAATCATTTGTTTCTCTGCAGTTCGTGAGTACCTAGCTTAAGTGTTATCAATTGTCTCAGTAGTGTGACAAACCTGTAATACATTAATTTAGTCAAGACTAAAGGCAAATGGGCAGCAATCTAATAATTTTCTTTCTTCATGAAAGCAGTTGGTTAAAGAAAGTTACTTTTTATCTTTTTTTAATAGCTGAGATTCCAAGAATATGCCTTTGTTTAAAAACCAATTTTTTAAAGTTTCAGAGAGACTCAAAATCATTGTTTGCATCTCTTCATTGAAAATTGCCACCTGTTCCAAAGAAACTGAAGTTACTGTGACTTTGTCATAAATTTTGTTAGAGCTATTTAACAGCTGTTGATCTCAGTCCTGAAAGACTAACATACACAGAGATACTTTAGATTATGTCCAGAGTGGTCTTTGATATAGTGCAGTGTGCAAACATTTCTCTGTAAAATTTTCGTTTTATTAAAGTAATCTTGAAAATAAGTATATATAAAAAAATACTTCCTAGTAACTTCAGTAGAGATAAGCATTTATTTAAAAAAAAAAAATTAGAGTAATCTGAGGAAAAATGTGCAAGTTTCTATTCTTTTATATTTTGAGTAGAGTAAATAGCTATCTCATATTATGAATGTTCTCCGTTCAATTTGTTTTTAATTGCTGGGGATTTTAAAGTTTCTACTGCTGTGTAAGGTCGATATTGTCAAGAAATATAGTACTAACTTAAACACATTGCACACTTTAAATTTAAATTGACAATTAATGTGATACTGCTAGTGGTTTTTATGGTGTAGTGACATTACTCTTATTTTTTCCTAATTATTTTTCTAATACTTCTTTACTAAGGAATGTGCTCAATACTTCCTGGAAGTAAAAGATAAAGACATAAAACATGCACTTGCTGGTTTGTTTGTGGAAATCCTCATCCCCGTGGCTGCTGTAAGTATTCCCCCCACACTACTCTCACTTTCAGTTACGCTGTTGTTGTTAAAACAGCTTCAATTAATCCTCACAATATTATATTTTTACAGATTCAAAAAGACTATTAAGTAAATTACAAGCATCCTCATAATCTTATGAAGTGTAATGCATCAGTGTGATTTCTGTATTATCTTGTTTCCAATCAGAACTTTTTAAATTGGTGTGTTTTCTAGACCATTTTGTCACCAGAGCACTGTCTAATCTTACTTATACTTGCTCTAAAAATTTGAATTTTCCTTGATTTAGTATTTGTTCACTCAAGGGTCATATTGACTTCTCTTTATTAGATGAAACCTGTTAAGCTCTTTCTAGAATAACCTGAGATATGTAATATTTTTACAGTCCGATAAGGATCGTATGAACTCCTATGCAGGAAAGAAGTATGTAGGTTTTGCTTAATAAAATAAAAACTGTAAAGGTGTGTGTCCCCTAGATGTCATGGGTCTACCCATGGGGATCTGTTGGGTGGGGATCCCATCTAAGCAAGCTCGTAGAAAAAAGAAAGATAAATCTCTCTGAACTCTGCGTCCTCTTTTAACTGGTCTGCCTTGCCTTGAGCTGTGGGGAAATGCTTCTCTCCCTTCACTAAACTCAACCTTGGTTGTTTTGAGGTTTCTTTGGTGTTTTTTGGGGGAATTTTTTTTTTTCTTTGTTGGTTCATTTAAATTAGAAAGGAGACAGTCTTTCCTCTTAAGGCCTGTTAGTCTCAGCTGTTTGGTTGACTGAAGTCTTGATCTTACCTGGGCATACTTGCACTCTTCTAGAAAATAATTTCTTGTCCTGTTAAAAAGTGAATGCTTTTGTCATCTTAACTCCACAGCTGCTCAGCAGTGGCAGTGGGGACGCACAGTGAAAGCACTTAGATGAACACAAATATTAGTTTGAAAAATCATAGTTTAAATATAGTGAAAACTGCCCGTAGAGTAATGAGGCCGAAGCAGCACTTGGGAATTGGGGCTGTCGGTTGGTAAGTGCGAAGGCATGCGCCACCGCCTGCCCAGAGCAGGTCTGTTGTGTTGTGTATTGCTTCCTACAGGCAGAGCCTGAATCATCCGCTTAAATGGTTGGTGAGGGAGGCTTGATCTTTCCTTCTGACTCACTGAGTCTTGTTATTTCATACAAATGGAGCTTCTTAAATAGAAGCGGGGAGCCCCATCCCAGATTGAGATGCGGTCGAGAGGATTAGTCATTCTTTTGGAAGATGGGAGAGGCAAGTTTGAATCTCTTTGAAGCAGATGAAGGAACTGAATCTAGACTTTTCTCTATCTCGGATACAGAAAATTGCTTAAGTAAGGAAGCTGTTGGGTTTTGGCATTGTGATTTCTTTGCTGTCATTTTCGTGCTTAGTCATTCAGGCATTTTTAACTATGACCTGGTTTGGACTCTGCAGGTAGGACACCATACTTTACAGTGGGGAAATTAAGGAAGATCTGTAAGCCCAAGGTTATATCCCAAAGCAACAGGGTGGTGCTGGCAACACCTGACTGATTTCTCATGTGGAGTTAGTGGGGTACTGATCTACTTATAGCTTAATAGTGAAAGATAAATACTTTGGGGGTATGTCAGAGACGATTTAAAACATCACTACTTTATCAGTTCTTTCTTTTTGGATTTTAACACTTTACAGGGATATTATACACTATTTTTATGCTTTCCATCTTGAATGTTTCCAGTGTTCTTAGCAAGGTAGTCAGGGCAAATCTTTCACTAACTTTGAATAAAAAAAGCTAACAAAAATTACCTTATGTTAGTGTCGTGTATATAATGGATCTCTTCCAGAAAAGCCAGTCTTCTTCCATCACCCTATCCTCACCCCCCAAGTTGTTAAATAAAGCAGAAACACAGCGTAAAACAGTAGGTTGGGAATAATTTTCAGAAGAATCACCACAGGTATGCAGAGAGAAGTCAAAGAGATTTGCAGAGGTTTTGATAAAGAAGGTCACTGCCTGGTTTGTGGAACAAGGGCTGTTCTGTGGGTGAGGACAGGGTGGATAAAAAAGGTGTAGAGGCTCCATGTATCTGTTTCATTAATTCTGAAGGACAACTTACATGATTGGTTGGCTGGTAATACTGTGGATGACTTGCAGAGTTTTCAGTTTTCTGAACTGGAGAACGTAAAAGACAAGGGGAACCTTGAAGAGGGGAACAGTGGAAAAAGTTACGGGCATTATATTTTAAGAATAGGAAATTATGCTTATAAGGAGTTCCATATAGTTTTTATTTGTTAGCTGGCAGCAGTTACTTTTTCTTCTTCAAGCATGGAATAAAGGCCACATTTTTATACTAGTGTATTTTAATTGGTTTTGGGATTGTTGTTGTTTTTTTTTTAAAAACTATAGTTGTAGTGTCTTACGTGATTTCTTATGCTTCTGTTTCAGATAAATATGCTCGAATACTTAATGTGAGATTTAACTTTAGAATGTTCTTGAATTCAGAGACATCTTAATGTATATTTAAATTGCCTTCTGTATAAACTTTAAAAATCCATTTATGTGTGTATTTTTTTTAATAGGCTGTTAAAAATGAAGTGAATGTGCCGTGTTTGAAAAATTTTGTGGAGATGCTTTATCAGACTACCTTTGAACTGAGTTCAAGAAAGAAGCATTCACTGGTATTTTAAAGAAATATTTCAGTTTCTCCGTTTTGTTCATCTTACACTTTCAAGCTAATATATTATATGAGGAAAAGCTAACAGCTGTATCAATTTAAGTCATAACTCCCCAGTTGAAGTATAATTGAATTCACACTGTGTACGTGCATTTGCTCTAATGTTGATTTGTTTCTTTGTGCAAGGTACGTGCTCTGTTATCTCACTTGTGAGATGTCCTGAAATCTATGCTTGGTTTTAATTATTTTAGTGGGTTTTAGCACAGAGTTATTTAACCTCATGTATCTAAAAAGAACTTGCATGCATAGATTTAAATTATGTTAATAGATGAAAGTGTCAGACAAGACTTTTCTAGCAAAATAGCAGTCTGTTAATAGCCCTGCTCTGCCTGTTTTCTCCTCTCTTCATACAATTTGATTTTCTTCTTCCAGTGTTTTGTATTGCCTCTTTTGGATAAAATATCTGTGTGGAATGGGTTTTTTCCCTAAGACTGCAGCTTAGTTTTTACCCTAAGACTGTGTCTTAGCAAGGATTTAAATCTCTTATTAATGCAGTATTTGGTAATTCTCGATGACCGTGACAGCCCTGTTTCAAGTTGATTCACTTCATTTTACTGGAAATGTAGACCTCAATTTTGCATTACCATTGGCATATTCAGTAAATGCAAATGATTTAAAAATTACTTATTCTCACTTTCCTGTTAGGGAGGAGCTTTACTTTCTGATATTCTGAGTATATGAAGCACAGGCTTAAACTCCTTACGTAAGGGTAAAAAAGTAGTTGATGTTAGTATTCACAGTGTAATTTTATTTATGAAGTCAGAAACATTGTTACATCAAGATTACAATTTGCCTATTCATCCTTATTCTTTAATTTTGCTCTGTAACAAGGTAATCTGCAGTCAGATTTGTTACTAATCACCATTATGTAATCTGTTGAAGTATGTGGTGTTTAAACAAATCTTACGTTACTGAAGCAAAGTCACGCTACTCTGCATATTCACAGACTTCATTACATTGTGCTTCATTCCTTACTAAAACTAAACATTGAGTAGAAGAAACATTTCTGACAACCTAAGGTCTGCCTCAGTTTGTACCGAGTTGATGATGTTTTTCCTGAATAATCTTCTTGGACGCAGTTCCCCCTCCCAGTGTGTAGGACACCATGAGCTGAAGGAGGGTGGTTGCAGAGAACAAATGTTTCACAGGCGGTGAGATCTGCTCTCAGTCTTTGCTTGAGATGAGGCCTTGCTAGGAGACGAGCTTCACCATGGTCCCACTGCCACAGGGTTACACCGTGAGCTCTCGCAGCACGTAGGTTATACTCAGGAGACCGTGCCTGGCTTGCGTGTCCTTGTGCGGGGGAAAGGCTGCCGTGCAAGGGTAGAACTGTGAGAGAGCGAGACAAGAACCGTCTATGTGTCTCATTCTCAATATACAAGACTTGGGAGGTCTGCAAAGAGCAACTTGATCAATTCTTTTTCCCCCCTGCTCATAGGCTTTGTATCCATTGATCACCTGCCTGTTGTGTGTCAGTCAGAAACAGTTTTTTTTAAATAACTGGCACGTTTTCCTGCAGAACTGTTTATCACATCTAAAGGTAAGAATCCTTTTTGATTTAGGAACTGTTGGAAAATCAATAGCATTTATTCCTATATGTTCTCAGCATCCTTGTGCCAAATAAACAATGAATATTTGGCTGTTTAAAAGGACACTGTGATTTTATTTTTTTAGAAGTATATATCTTCAGTCTCCATTAGTATTAAACTTAGTTGTAAGTTTTTGTGGTGATATGTAACAGTGCAAATAGTTGTGCCCCCCTCCTTGGGGACTGTCAGTTTTATTGAGTAAAATCTGCAGAAGTATCTGCTCATAAACACTATTTATGCCAGAGACAGCACAAACTGTAATTCTTCAAGAGCAGATTACATGTGAGAAAGTAAGTGGCTTGTCTGCTCCTCTAAGTAAAATGTGTAGTTAAATGTAAAATTTCTCTCTCTTGTTTACTTATGAAGAATTAGTATATGAATTGGGAGTTCAGAGAAGAAATTTTATCTACAGCCTGTGATACATGTTTTCCAGATAAAAATTACAGTGTCCCTTTAACTCATGGCTTCACTTTATAGCATCGTAAACATGAGTTGGTTGATAAAGTGATCAAGATACTTTAAATTTAGACATTTGTTTTAGTGACTGTCTTGTAGCATTAATTGTTGTACGTGTTCCTTCCTTAATTTTGATTAACATTGTTCATAATTTTGTCTAATGTATTGATTTCGATAATTTTAATAAATTCTTTGATCCACCTTAACAATATTCATTCTAGTTAGGCATGAGTGACAATTCCAAAGCTTATTAGTAAAATACAGAAACCAGCATGAAGTCAAAAGGAAACAGGTTTAGCTGCTTGGATTGCTTTTGAAGGGTCATTTTGTTTTCATGACATCTTCCACACTTTTCTGTTGCTTGTTGTTTTTTTGTAAATATTTCATCTAACATTGCAGTTCTTTTGCAATATTTGCCTTAATTTTTGTTTTGTTATTAATTTTGCTTATGGAAACTGCTTTTGCTTTTGTTTTTAAAGCTTAAAAAAAGAATTCTTACAATGTAGGAGTTGCGTTTTTCTGGCATAACGTCCTTTGCTGATAATGGATGTATTAAAACTATAAATGCCAGTGAGTTTAACTAATAGTTGCTGAGCATGCATTTTGTATTTTATGTAGTTTTGCTAACCACTAACAGCTTAACACATTTACTGTAAGGCTCTATTCAGCAGAAATTCTACATATGAATTTCTGCAATTCAGAATTTGCAGTGTTATGATGCTGTACTATCAATGAGGTGTTCAGGAAATTTTATGGCTTGGTTTAGTTTGGCCCACCACATACTATTGGTTCTTTGGATGCCAACTTTGTTCAGAAACTTTGTTGAGTTTAATCTTGAAGAATACACCCCCTACTGTCCTCATGTATCTTATGAATTAATGTGTTTATTTGTTTCTGAAGCTAATTAAATGCATGCACTCTGTAATAAGTAATCTCATTAATTTATAAATCTGAATTTCACAGCAGATTAGTTTTTTAAATTTCCTCCTTCCTCATTCTATTTCCTGATTTTCTAATGACTAAAATTGTTTTATCTGCAGCTACCTAAATATGTAAAATGCAATAAGAATTCCAAATCCATTGTCTCTAGTGTCTTTGTCATTTAACAAAGTAATTTGGAGAGTTACTGGGAGATACTTTAGAGTACTGAAAAGCTTTGTCCACCCCTACTGTATTAGTTCAAATTAAATAATTAAGCATTGAAATAATGGCAACGCTTAGACTCTGTCACAGGGACATTCTGTGACGAGTACAGTGATCATTAGCACGTCACCAAGAGGTAACGCAGGTTGTGGATTCATGGTGCTCTCTTTATTCCCTGGTCACTGCTCAGTGCAGTGACCCAGAAATGAACACCATGTGGTCACACTTTGGTGACAGAAATAAGCAATTTCTCCTTTGCCATGGTGTGAAGATTTGCATCCTCACAGTTGCTCCATAGTTCCTGATGTGTAACATATCTGCGCCCTGCCCTGCCCTGCAGTTTTTTGGTGCTACATTGTACTTGATAATGCTCCTGAGAGTGCTCTGAGTGCTAATCCAGTACAACCAGTGTTTATTGCCCTTGTAAACTCTTTGTGCTGGATTTCAGCACACATTACCTTTACCTATTCTTAAAGCAGACCTATCGTATGGGGAAAACATGCTCACCTTGTTGAAAGGAGGCAGCCTCGGGGTCTGGACTGATGCAAACAGCAGATAAGTGAGTTGTGTGGGTCAGTTTAGACCAGGAATGGGTGTGCCAAAGGGTGTTTCTTGATAAACATGTAGCTGGTTGTGTCACACGAAGCAGCTGAGATGCTGTTTCAGGACTGAGCCCAGCAAGGCATATCTTTACACACTGTAGTGTAGGCAAAATCTGAATTTGTTCATCAGACAATAACGCTCAGTCAGTATTGTAAAACATTTTGCTTGCTTTTTCCACTCATATTTAGATAGATTAATTCTAGCAGGTTTGTCAGAAAGCTGAGAGGTTCTTGGATGAAGCTAAGTTGTTGGGCTATCCTTACCACCTCTTCCAGGAGGAGGAAAGAACATTTAAGAAAGCTACTGAAATGAGAGAGAGAAGTGTCTTATCATTCTGCATCACTGTTGGAAAAGAATAATTATTTTTCCCCACAGTCTGACCTTAGTGTCTGTTAGCATAAAACTTTGCAAGTTGGAGGAAGGCTTTCTGCCACTTAAAGCAAGACCTGTATTTCTACTGAATAGAGTCCTTACTAGACAGCTATCTGTTGGTTTTGTGCTTTTTTTTTCATCTAACATGCATGTGCCTTCCATTCTCATGTTTGTTATGTTTTGCTGTCTCACATTGCTTTATTTAGATGCCATCTAACAACAGTATCAGAAAACAAATAGAGACATTGCAGGTGAGTTAATATGTTGTTGTAACTCAGTGAAACGTTGCTATGTCTCATGTAAATACTTCGTTCTGTTTTTTATGTTAATTGTTGTATATTGTGCTTTCCTTTCTTTGCAAAATTGCTGTTAGTAGTGTTAAGAAGTGACAGGACTAAGAATAGCTACTGTTCAAAGATCTTTTTTTCTTGCCAGGGAGTAAAGGAGAATGATCATTAAATTATCTAATACCAGTTTTTCCTGGGGGGTCCAAATGTGGCTTTGTGAGATTGAGTATCAATATCACAGCTGGTTTCCCTGGACAGCAGTGCATGTTTCCACTGGAAGTTAACTACCTTTTCAGATGTATGGTTATTTCTGTTAATTCATTTGAAAAAGTGTCTTGCATGCGAGTGAACTTAAAAACATTTTCACAGTAAAAAAAAATGTGAAACTGATATACTATAACAACTTGCAGTGCACTAACTTGAAAGACTTTTACACTGTTGGTTTTGCAGGTTGTAAAAAGTAGAAATTGTTTTAGTTCAGAACAGAAGAAAAGTTTAACATCAGTGTTAAAAAGTACTTTCCTCAGTAAGTGACTACATTTGACTAACATGGAAAAAATGCTGTTTCGTTTCTTGCCTTCATTGAGATATGTTTCATTGACTCATCTTAATGTGTCATGTAAGACCACTGTAGATTTGCTCTTACTTTTTTGGTTTTGTAACAGATGCAGTTCTCGGCAGCTTATTCTATAGTCTACGGATACAATTCATATTAAAAGTTTTAGGATTTTTAATAAACAACTATGTTGGGGGAACCTCCCCAAAAAAGAAAAAACACAGAAAAACCCAACGAAAAACCCTGAGTGCTTTTAAAATCTGACAGGCATCAGCTAAAAAGACTGAAATTCAGCCAGATAGGTGAATTATATAGCCATATATACTGTATTCTAGCTGCAGTAATCTCAAAGAGAAAAGGAAATACTGACATAATAACACCAAGTATACAAGAAGTATGCCATAAATTAGATCCAAAGAGCCACTTTCTTCTTGCTTATTTGTTTAGTTCCTATTTATAGGAAGAGATAATGAAATTGTCAGTGCTTAAGAAATTTAGAAATACTGCTGTATTTACTTTACAACCCTTTTAAAAAGGTGAATGCTTTCTTATATATACATTTTTTTAAAAAAAGAAGCAGACTTTGTCATAGCCAGTCAGAAGTAGCTATTCAGGATGATAAACCTCCTAACAGATGGAATGTTAACACATCGTGAAATCTCTGCTACCTATGCCATTTTTTTTTCTTAGATGACTGAAAGCCAATAGTGGATTTTTGATTTTCTTCTAGACCTGTAAATTAAACTCCCCTTTCAAGTATCAGAAATAAGCAAATTGTAGTGTCTAGACCTAAGTAATGCTTCATTTCAGATGAACTTTGATAACTCATGTACCAATGAATTCACCAGTTTACTTTGAACATCAAGAACTGTTGGCCTGTAGATTAAATATGATGAGTCATAATATTATGTTTAGGTTGATTAAAATCAAACCTATCTCAGTCTCACCCTCTTATGCAATCGTGTTTGCTTCTTCCTCACAGTAGCGCTGCTGGTAAATTAACTGGACAGTGGGATGATTATCTGTCTGAATACAAACCAGGGACAGATGTAACTTTTTACTGGTTAGATTTTGTCTGCATTGACTTCCTAAGTTCACCCACTGCCTAATTGCAGTTGTGTTGGTTCAGAGGTGATGGCAGGAACACGTAGATGAGTGTGCGGGAAGGGTAGAACAACGTTATCCTTATCACTCACATAGACTGGATTAAGTTATTCCCTCTAATATTCTGATAAACAGTCACGTACACTACTTGTCAGTGAAGAACTGCTTTTGGTCCTGTGGTTTTACAATAAGCTTTTAGCCTTTCTTAAAATAAGTTGCTGCCATGGAATTAATTGGATCAACTTGGTGGTATGAGTTGGATGTTGTTATTGCCAGAGTCCAGGCAAAGGGAGCAGTGAGATGGCAGAGGAGGGAACCAAGGGTGAGCCCATCTCTTTTTGAACAGTGCGGAATTAGACCACTTACACCCTTTCTGAAATTTCACTTCACTTGTCCTGGGAGGACTCACTGGTTTGTGGTGGAGGCCACAAAATGTTGTATTAGTTAGGTTTGAGCCATCATGTAGATACATCTTGAAACAGAGAGAGTTCCCTGGAGATGGGGAAGTTGTGTTTTGGGGGTTCATATCTTGGGGTTTTTTGATTGTTTTTTTTAAAGGTTTTTTGGGTTTTGTTAGGTTTTGATTTTATTTTTTTTAACTGAGGGAATGCCTAAAAACATGACAAAAGGGAATAATTTATTCTATTCATAAGCTTATACTTTGGATCAATTCCAAGAATCTTACTAGACACTTCAAGATCATAAATACACCAAAAATCCCTAGCTGAAAAAGGAATTGCTGGAGTTGATACGAAGAGTGTTAGTTATTTACTGTTTTACACAGTCTAAGAGCTAGGAGGAGCAAAGCTGAACTCCTGGTGTCAGCTTCAAGACAAAAAATAATTGGTTTACATACAGTGCGTAGTTTAAACTAAATTATGTCACAAGATTTTATATTAATTCAAGAAAAAACTAGCTTAATTGTTACAAGAAAAATGTGTTGGAAGTGAGTAAACATTGATACGACCTGGCGTGAAGCCTGGCATGCAAGCCCAGAGAAGCATCCTTGCGTGGCTGCCCTGTTTTGCGCTCTTTTCCTCTGCACCTGCTACTGTCTGCTCTCATAAACTGAATGATGGACTTAAGACCTCGTGCCTGATTCAAAGCAGCTACTCCGATGTTTTAGACAAACTCTAAGTCAGTTTACTATAAAGTAGATGACTGTTGCTAACTTTCTGAGAAAAGTTCTTGGAAGCAATGCGCCCTTGGTGTTCCTCTCAGGAGAAATACCCACCTTGTAGTTAACTCCTCTGCTCTCAGAGTGGAAGACTTATAAAATGATCTGGAATTGCTAGTTAAATATTCAGTAGTATTGGAAATATGCAGTGCAAGGTTGTTTTTATGAAAACACGTTAAAACTTGTAGTCAGTATTAAACACATCAGTTTTCATTGTTGAAAAAAAATTGAAAATATTGTCAAAAGTCAAAAGAGTAATAATACAGTTTTCTGAGTGTCTCACAGGTAACAGTAACTGTATTTTTCACTTATTTTACAGAATAAAGATCCAAAAATGTCCCGAGTTGCACTGGAATCTTTGTATAGGTTATTGTGGGTTTATGTTATTAGAATAAAATGTGAAAGCAACACTGTAACTCAAAGGTAAGTTCACTATTGAAAGGATTTTAAACTACTGATTGATGGAGGAATTTTTCCCCCTAGTGATATCAGAAGACAACTTGACACCAGCTCAGGGACTTACCTGACTGGGTCAGGTAAACAGAGGAACTAAGACTACCTCTTAATGGAGCAAAGCAAAAGAACTTGACTACTTTGATGAGAAAGTATAGATCCACAGTTGTCTTTGCAGGGATGTGCAGGGGTAGAAGAGGGTGGAGAGATAAGAAGCAAGAAATTAAGTTTAAAAGGCACTAGTGGCACAGAACAAATAGGGTCTGGAAATGAAGACATTTTCTTTATAAATTAGAACCATGAGAATTTGGAAAAATCATTCAGATTTTGCCCTCCTGGGTATTACTAACTCGTTCAAAGCAGGATCTTGGTCACTTTAATAAATGAACCCATGATACTGTTTCCTGTGAGAAGAGAGGGCCGTACTTTCTGCAGGTGGTCCTACCTGTCATATGGTTCTGGATTATTTAGTAGTAACCCCACTACAGTCTTCCAGGTTTGAACTGTAACATCTATGCTACCGTAAAAAGTTAAATTTTAAAGCTTTTGTTTTTTTCTTTTTGTTTTTAAATTCTTATAGCCGTCTCATGAGCATTGTGTCAGCACTTTTTCCAAAAGGATCACGTAGTGTGGTCCCTCGAGACACACCTCTGAATATATTTGTGAAGATTATTCAGTTCATTGCTCAGGTAAGAATACCTCTAGGTAGAGCTATAAGAATAGTATGAACAACATCAGTTGAAAGAAATGTAAATTTAACGTTAATTTCTGAGATATTTGCACTGAATTAATGGTCTTGGATCTTGAAAAGAATTTCCCCAAATATATGTAACAAATGTAATTACTCATTCTGTTGCTAATAGTAGCAAAATTATTTTACTTAAACTTCAGTAACTGTTGTGTATGAACATTATGATGAATATTTACATTTGTATTACACTGTTTTGGATGTATGTGCATCTATATCTATATAAAAAATACACTTTTATATATATATATATATAAAATACACTAATATAATTAGCATAGCCATTATAATATTCTTATAAAGGACAAAGCATTCAAACAGTAATATCCACTTATATTTGGCCTGGAGACTAGCCTCATTAGAAGCAATACACGATGCTTCAGTACTGTGTAGTTAATATTGCATTATGATTTACATTGTTTTAGGTGCTTCTGTTGTCCTAATATCAAAATGCGGGATATGATCTCACAAGATAAGCTTTCATTCATCTATAATCTTATAGATTAGAGACAAGTTTTCCTGCCTTACAGATAGCTTTCTGTGCTTCATCCGTCCTACAGGGATGAGACAGGACACAAAATCCTTCACTCTTTATATTTGTTTCTTACAGCTCCTTTTTTAATACTAATTTTTAGTAGTCTAAAACAGTTGAGCTCATTTGTAGAAAATTTGTAGAAAAGTGTTTGACATAAGCAGAATTGTCTGAAAAATAAATAGAAAAAACTTGTATTTTTAAACATCTTTTTACTTTTTAAAAAACTCTTAAGACATGATACCCAGCACCTGTGGAAAGCCAAGAAATTAAACTATGCATATTAACAGAAAAGAGATAATCATATCTGTTTCCCTTTATAGGAACGTTTGGATTTTGCAATGAAAGAAATAATATTTGATCTTCTTAGTGTTGGAAAATCACCTAAAACCTTCACTATTAATCCAGAGGTAAAAAAAGCTCATTACTTGAATGCAGCAAGAACAGGGGCTTGGAGGATTTTTTTGGGGAAAGTGGTTAACTATTTTTGAGCTGGGATGAAAGCAAATTAATGAACATCTGAAGGGATGTTCTCCTAAGACTAATGAAATAATTGTAGTTACGCACACTTGCTGTTTTGTTTGTGGTGAGTAAACTAACAGATCATTTCAGCAATAATTTCAGTAAATGTGTGTGAATTTTGGTTACACCATGACTGTAGAGCCTTCTTTTCAGGAAAGGTTGTACCTGGCTCTAACGGTTCAAGACCCAATATAACAGCTGAGACTTTTAAGCAGTGTCTGTCTTCAGTATGTCATTCTTGAGATTTATATTGAGTCCTTTAGAGCCCTGGACTGTAGAATATTGGGTATATTAGCCTGTGCCAAGTCAGGTACTGGAATCAGATTGTGGGGAAGCACTGAAGGCTTAAACTTAGTTCTTGTTACTTCCATTTCCCTACTATGTAACATTTAGGTAATACCTATCCTACTGGAACTGGGCTGCTGTCCGTTTAAAAGAGGAAAAATGCGATTTGTGGTTTGCCTCATCTGTGTTACTTCAGTGTTAGAATTTATTCTGTTTTCTCTTCCGTTTTTTTTCCCTTTTTCGTAATTGAAGAGGATGAATATTGGCCTCAGGGTCTTCCTTGTCATAGCTGATAGCTTGCAGCAGAAAGACGGTGAGCCACCAATGCCAACAACAGGAGTTGTTCTTCCCTCAGGAAATACTCTGCGTGTGAAGAAAATTTTTCTTAATAAAACGCTGACAGATGAGGAAGCAAAAGTTATAGGTATGTTGTATTCTTTTTTAAGTTGATATTCAAATATACATTCTCTATTATTCTCAAGCAGTACATTTGTGTAACTATTTTAGTTATTGTTGAGAATCTAATAATAGTCTGATTTAACAAAATTGCTTAGATTCTCCGCAGTGGACTGCTGTTGACTTTCTGGTGTCTGAGACCAAACCAGTGGCTTTTTTGGAAGTGTTTTGCACTGCCAAATAAGCCCAAAGAAGCCTGAGTGCAATTAGTGTGGTAGATAACATGGAAATTTGTGTTCCCTTGAGGTCACTCTAGAATGTCCCAAATGTCCCACAGCTGAAGTAAGACAATTTTAATCTCTATGCTCTGTTGGTCTTCTGTGGATTAGATAGTCATCTCTAAAGGACTTTTTCAACATGTAAAACTCAACTATAACTAAAAACCTTGCATTTAAAAAAAAGGAAAAGCAACTAATGGTTTCTTCCTTGAAACATAAATGTTCTTTCTGAAATAAACTTCTGCTTTCATATAATACCTCATACTACTGATGCATGCATTTCTTTTGACATTTAAAGTGTGTGCTTTGCGCCGTCTTTTGTACAACAAGAAATTTGCCCTGAGCTGAATGTGGCAAATATTTTAATAAAAATGTGAAAATTAAATGAGAATAAATGAAGGAAGTGATCGGAACTCTTTGGCTTTTCAGGAATGTCCATATACTACCCTCAAGTCAGGAAGGCGCTAGATAGCATTCTTAGGCATTTGGACAAAGAAGTTGGAAGGCCCATGTGCATGACCAGTGTGCAGATGTCCAATAAAGAACCTGAAGACATGATTACGTATGTACTGAATTACAATATGTTCACTGTCACAGTTCTGCCATTATTTTTATGCTATAATATTGCAGGTGCCATCATTAATGCATTACAGTTGTTGGCTTTTTATGTGACTGTGAAGTGAACACTGATTTCGTTAACTAGTGATAAAAAATTTTGGTAGCTCCTTAGTTTGACATGAAATTAAAAATATTTCTGATATACTGAACCAGATTTTCCTGTCTTTTTGTTGGTTACAAACTGTTTTTGTAGGGGTGAGAGAAAACCTAAGATAGATTTGTTCAGAACTTGCATTGCTGCTATCCCGAGGCTGATTCCAGATGGCATGAGCAGGACTGACCTCATTGAATTGCTTGCGAGGTAAGGGGAATGAAACGCTGCCCTTGGAAAATCCACCGATTTTCCTTTTTGAACGCTGGGTGTTGGAGAGTTTGTCAGTGCACTCTGGTGGGAGTCCACTGCTTACACAACCCCTTCTTCCTATTCCTGCCTGCCTTCTGCAGTTGGTCAAGTGTTACTGGCCACAACAGCAGTGGTAACATTATGCTGAAGATTTTGCACTTCAGAGAGAATTTTTTTTTAGAAGTAGGGATTTATTTCTGTTGCTTTGTTTTTTGAACTTGTCTTTTTGTTACTACTGTCATACGTTTTCCTCGCTTTTTTCTTTTATTTTTTATTTTTCTTTTTTCCCTT